TGAGCCTGCGGGGCGCGCTTCACATTTTCCCCAGACGACCCCACGACACAATTTTACCCCTTGCTCTTCGTAAGGTATCTACCACTCTTGATAGGCACACAAATGCGCCAGTTTTTTTGTCATGTAGGGGTTCGCAGAGCGTTTTAGTTTGCCATACAATACCAATCAAACTCGATAAAATGGATACCTGCTGCCCACTCGTAGCGGTTTTTTTGTCGTCTTGGTCTGTATGTGTTAGAATAAACGCCATTTTTATCGCATTGGGGATTGTCTTTTTACGAGGCGTATGTTACGAAGATCAAATCTTCAAAACTGGACTCATTTTCCTGCTGCATACTCTTTTCAGCTCCCATGGCTTACCTCCACGTCAAAGAACTGTTGGAAAGCATCGCCCAACACGCCGACAAGAGGTGTTTTGTGTATGCTATCGCTTCACCGGATGAAACTGGTCAAAGCTGGTGCCCTGATTGCCGTCGAGGTAATACTTTTACACATTTATGCTTCGGCTTTCCTTATCTTTGTCCTCCAAACCCAGGTGTCTGTAAGGCTATCCTGAGTATGGTAAATAAAGCCTAAGCAGCGGCAGATAGGACAAATTTCACAGTCCAGTAGTCGGTACTTTGCGGTGTTACGGTCACATCGATCCAACTGAAACCGATGCACACATTAGATAGCTATAACATAGATTAGCATTATTAGTGTTTGACCAACAGCTGATGGGCAGTGACGAGGAACTACATGCTGATGTCCGTTTCCACTCTGCGGCATTTACAACGCAATTAATTTTACTACGTTTACAATTTTCTTATCAACTTAAAAGGCATGTTTAATGCAAATTGGGCATTGGCAAGGGCGCTCTGCCACTGAGCCATGTGCCGTTTTAGTAGGAATATCCTGCGAGCAGGACTGTCTAGGGTTTTGGGAAATGTTTTCATGTCAGTGTGTATTAACTGCTCTGATACCCTCTGTAACTAATCATTCTTAAAGTCACTTTTTGTACATTTGTCAAATCCACTGTCCTCTGTTATTCCTTGAATTTCGGAGCACTTTGTAAGTACTGTGGCCTCGTAAATATGATTACCATACGTAATTTGCATTTCGCCCTACAAGAATGCTATTTTTATTTTTAAAACTTCAGTCCAGCCATCTGTCGACGAGGCTCGGATGAAACTGCCTGAAAATGCAATGTGGTTTGATGTGCATACTGGCGACAGACCAACGTAAGCGCAGCCTCTGGCTTGTCATTATTCTTACAAACTTCAGGTGGAAAGATCCTCAAAACGAATTCCGCGTATGTTCCGAACTAAACATTCAGAAAGTACCTACACTTTTGGAATTTGGAACCGTAAGCTCCCCACCCTTTCCATCCTCATTGCTCGTCCTTTTACAGGATCGTCGACTTACGGAAAACCAGGTTACTCTCTCAAATATGTTGGATATGTTCAAGAAAACCGCGAATACCTAGGTTATGGATCTCCTCACTGCATTTCGCCCACCCCTCCCATGCCCACCTCACGCTTTTCTACTCAGGATAGGAAGAATTTATTTGATTTACTTAAACCATCATATCCACAAGCAAATCATACCGGATGGACCCTCTCTTTTTTAACTTTTGCAGTAAACTCTACTCTAATCACTTACTTCTGATGTGTCTCAGTATGTATGCTGGCCGCATTGATACCAGCCGGTAGTTCGACCTTGGCAGCAGATGACGAGTTCTACCCTGTGGCCCATGCAGCACCGGCGACCTGCGCGCGAATTATAGCGAGGCACTTCCTGCAGCATCGACAGACTAGATAAATAGTTTTGTCTTAGAGAAGACTGCGCTGATGTGGAACCGCCAGTGTTGGCCCCATCCCCTCTTCACTCTCCCGTGTACCAGTACGCGGACGGGTTGAGGGAGTGGGTAATGTTCAGAAGGTACGATTGCTAGAACAAGAAGTTTATTGGCCTGACTTTTCGGATTCTCATTCAAACCCATTATCAGAGACAGTCGCAGTAAAGGATACTAAGGGTAGAAGGTGCGCGATATTTAAAGGGCATAATTGCCGTGCGACCACAAAACTACTGTAATAAGCCGTGTTAGGGATTCCCTTCAGTTCTAAGAAGTTTTGTTTCAACTTCCGCATAATTTTGAATTCCACCTGCAACTGGTCCTGTGTAAAGGGTTTCAATAAGGCATCGTACGGAGCTCTTGAAATTTGGCAATGAATCTACCGTGTGGTTTACTTCATAAAACATAAATAAACGTACTGATGCGATGCTGTATGGATGGAATTTATATAGGGGCATCGAAGGCCGATGGGCAAAGTTCATTCTACTTAAACAGCTAGTTTTTATCACGTGCAGTTTATGGAGGTGACCGGAAAGTAACTCATTCAAAAGGCAGTACCCAGAAGGACTGAAGTATTTTCGAGTTTTACTGCATGAAAACCACTATTACATATCCACTTAGGTAACCCTTTAAAATCATAAACACCTATTCAGAATTGCAGATAACATTTCATGAGATAGCTCACCTACTTTAGACCTCAATCTGTAACGTTGTAAATTCTCATTCAGTTGGCGGAGTATGTCTGTACACGTTACACGAGATTCTGAAGTGTGTTTTGGATTATAAAGGATTGTTTAGATGAGGTAATGTGCCATATCGTTCAACATCATACTAAGATATTTCAGTACTTCCTTTACCCAGTCGTGGAACGCTCGGAGGCCTCGGTGGGATTCGAGCCCACGATAGCAAGAAAAAGGCTTGAGTGCAGACAAGGTTCAAACCACCTGGACTACGAGGCCACCCCGGGAACCATGACTTTTAATCACTCATGAGTTTTGTTACCCGCACAGCCCACCGCGAGGTATGGAAAACACAAATTCCAGTATAGTAAGCTGACTGTCTAAGTAGGATTTCATAATCAATCATGAATCCACCACAGGACTACCTGGCGCAGTTAATTAATTGGTGTTTTGACACATTTAAAATATATGTTTTCAACAACCCTCCACCGGGCCAGTACATTTGCAGGGATAATGAAATTTGTTCAGTTGGGCAGGATTAATAAGTGTCCTTTGATTACAAATAATCGTTTTCACGTCGCCTGCATGGCGAAATCGGTGTGTAAAGGTACTTGTGCTGGGGGAGGGGAGGAAATTGAGTTAGGTTGTGGGCATTGGTCAGAGGTCAGGTACATGGTGTGATAATTACTGTAATTTGCACGGACCGAACGACTGTCACTAGGGCGTGGGGTCGATGTGCTATCGCCACCTGGCGTCGGGGTCGACCACGGAAGTGAGGGTGCTTGTGTTAGCGTCTTCTGACAAGACAGCAATTTCACTTTCCGATCGCACATCGTCCCACATCCTAACGACAGTCGTACGCTCCGCGCCAATGACAGTAATTAGCATCCTATGTACCTGACCTGTGACCAATGTCCGCAACCTGACCGATTTTCTCCCCTCCCCTCCCTTCCTCCCCAGCACAAGGACCTCTACAGGCCGACCTCGCCATGCAGGCGGCGAGAAAAAGATTAGCTGTAACCAAAGTACACTTCTGTGTTAACCCTGTACAACTGCCATTATCCCTGCAACTGTACTGATGGGGGGAAAAATTGCAGAAAACATGTTTGCTAAATCGACTTATAAAATTAAGCAGGGGAATATTTGCAGAACATTTAACATAACTAACTCAAACCAATTTTGGAAAACTCGGCGGCATGTCTGCTTTTCTATGCGCTTCTTCCTGAGTAGTACGCATTTTTCTATTGAGTTTCGATGCATGTACAAATGCGGACATATTAAGCAAAAGGTATGCAACAAAATATGTTCCGAATTTTTGATAAAACACATCCACCGACAAAACTTCATGGTAGACGAAACATACAGTGTTCGCTCCAGAGGTGTTAGGTTTCTCTATAGACGAGAAGCTCAGACATGATTCCTAGCAAATACATGGTCCAAAACAGGTCAAAATGAAGATAAATCAAATCTTTACCGTCAGTACACCCTTTTATGGGCCATAATAATTATTTTCCAATGCACTTATATCTGTCATCAAGGAGGCTGTTTAACGTCAACATCTAATGCCCATTTATGCGTAGTCGAATTCGCGCTATCGCCATTTATCTCCGAGACGGAGCAACTACTATCTGGCTATTAGACGACGAGTCGGCCACACCAAAAATACTGACTGGTACGATTTTTCCCATGGGTTGGCAGCGTTCTAAGCCACGCATTTTTAGCTGTATTTGGTTTATGGTCACGTACAAAGGTTGAACCACAATATTTTATTTGCGAAAGCGAAGGTGGTCGGCAGAGCCAATGAGAAGATGGCCAGACTGGTGCTCGAAAGTTGCTCCCACACTGGTACACTCAAGCGAGCTATAAACCTGCATCCCGCCTACCAGACACTTGGTCCAAGGTTCCGATCTGTTCGAAAAGGCCAGTAGGGCAAACACTTGTAGGGAATTGAGAGCCGACGCTCGAGGAAAAAGATCGGTGGCGGCCAAGGGTCACTTAACCAACATCCAACACTACCTCACAAATGCGCACGCTAATCGGGAAGCAAATCAAGCCAACAGCAACCACTTATCACTCCACCAATTAACGCGGGGAAAGCGAACAAGCATATTAGCTCGTTTGTCGCTACACCGACTATAAAGGGAACAAAGGTCATGAAAGCACGCTGGCGGCCAATCTCGGATAGATCAAAGGTAGTCGTCGGCGAACGGGCAGCTCAACGTTCTTGCGTCCCACACGTCAGCGGCAAGACTAACTAATTCAAGCTCACTAGATGCATCGACCGCAATATTCTGATGATAGAACCAAACCATCAATACGAACGCAATTCGGTCCAAGAACTTGTTCCCTCCTTCTGTGGGGAAAGATGAAAGCGATTATAAATACACATCTTTGGTAATATTTGTTAAATTTATGTATGCAAACGCACTGTTGATAAACTACGCACGCCTATAGTTATTTTATATCATTTATGGCGTTTTATTTAGTATGTGATGCAGATTTCCGACAATAACTGAGACAATAAACTGGGAAAACTAACTGAGAAAGCCACAGATAAATAGGCAATTTGACCACAGACACCGCCTTAGCAAAGTAGCTGCTAATTGGTGCTCGGCCATAAAAATCACCCTGTCTGGCCATCCCCTGCCTCAGGCATGGGGAACAGCAAATGGACTGACCTCTGTCCCCGATTCACGTCGGTGACAGCTAATCTAGCCGTCTGTAGCTCCACTGAATGGCCACCAGTCTGTCACTCCAAGAAGGGGGACATAATTGTTTTTTTATGGTAGTATTCCGGCACAGACATTTGGCAATACCGTAGGATAGCTATTTCGGGCTATTGGCCCTCATCAGCTACGGGCAGCCAACTCTAGTGTAGCAGCTAAAATTGCCGCCGCACCT